CAAATGCATCAGGAACAAGTCTAGCCATTGCTGAAAGTATTTACAACTATACCACAGCAGAGGTGAGCGAAGTTTTAAACGATGTTCTTGTTATAAGGTGTGATGGAACGGTTGTAAAAACTGGAACTCATAATGGGGTACTGCGTTGTCTTGAACTGAAGATTGAGAGATTGGTGTGAAATGGGTTGTTTTTAAACTGCATTGTAACAAATCGCCTCTTTGCCACTTGTTTGAATCCCTTGATGGTCCTACCTCCGGACCTAGTTCCTACACCAGTTGCATTGAAAAATCTTTAAAGATGTGTGAGCTACTTCCAGTGGTAACATTTAACCCAGTTAACTGCACCTTGCCACCAGTTAATATACCAAATTAGAGTAAGGACCGGAGGTATTTGATGGATATTGCTATTGCCATTAGATTAGACATATGTCCTCCAGGTCTTGCTAAGCAAGATCCAGGCCTCTTAAACATATCACGCTGGTTTATAACAGCCAATATAATATTCAGATTGTATGTTTCCACCGTAGAACCATCGAATAACTTACGTACCATAGAAGAGTTCGTTCTCAGAGTGTATGCACCTTCTTGGTTTTGCATTAAAATCCATAATTCAATTAAGGGTGAAGCGCGGCATCTTTACAACTTAATTCAATCATCCAGATACTTGGATTACGTTATCCGCAACGTCATTGACCCAGTAATTTCTCGGAATGCTTACTTTACATCTCCAGAAAACATTCTGCTTGCAATACTAACTGATAAGAGATCACATATCAGAACCCTCGACGTACGAAGAGTGATAAAAGCACAAGAATCCATTGAAATGGTTGGAAACGTTCGGACAAGAAAATTTTATATTCCGAAAATAAACTTTGAAGCAAATGACTACATTGATCTAATTGACTAGTTGTCCAACAAAGTTACTTCATTACCAGTTCTAAATAATGTCACTACAGAAGATTTAAAAAAATGCTAAAAGAACCAATACCGATTGACTGGAGTTTTACATGCCACACACAAGCTGCGGAAAGAACAGTAAAAATAGTTACGGAGGCTTCAAAGAAGGTGTGTGGACATAACAAACGGGACAGATTTAATAGCTCCACTCTAAAATCGAGCATTTAACATTTAGGTACAAGAGACAGTACAAAACCTTAAGACCTTACAAAACAACCATTTTTGTACTCTTAATTTTATATACTTATTTTTTAATTTTTATAATAATATGCTTTTATATAATTTATATGTAAGTGTATAACAGATCAAGTTTGTGTTTTATAAATTTTAGTTAAATAATGAAAAAATAGCGGTTTTGTCGATTATGGTGTAATTTCAGGCTCTTTGCCAGAACAGAATAAATTTTAAGTGGGGCATCAAACTTAGTACAGTAACTAATCAAATACATGTGCAGCTTTTGCACAAAACCGCGAAGTGCTGTGATGCCAAGAAAATATTTCTAAAAATATATTAAAATATGGATATTTTACTAAATATTTGAAATTTCAAGTCCCTTGCCAGAACAAAAGACATTTTACTTGGTGTTGAAATTTTGCACAGAGGTTATGTATAGAGACAAGTTTTCCGCTCTACCCCAAAAGCATCATAAAAAATTTTTGTTTTTCGAACCCCTCTTATATACAGTACAGATGCGTTCAATAAAATATAATAAAATATGGTATATAAGTAAACAAATTAGAGTCAACTATCGATATCTCGAATACTTGATATCTCGAACTTTTTTTTGCGTATCTCGAACTTTTTTTATCTTGAACCTAATATTTCAAACTTTTTGGTATCTTAAACAATATTTCTGGTCCACATGGCAATTTTCTTTCGTTATCTCGAACTTTTTAACATTTTATTTCAAGAAATATTTTAATAACATTTGATTTTTGAAAATTCTAATTTTTGAAAAGTATTTTCAAAAAAGAAATTTTTTAAAATTCGATTTTTTTATAAATCGAATTTCTAAAAAGTATTCTATCAATCGATTGTTTTATTGTTTTTATCAAACGCAATAACATACTGCTCGTTAAACGAACAAATCTATAATAGGAAAATGCAAGGCATTAAAAGACCTAGAAAAAGGAAAGTCTAACAAAGAGGCAGGGCCACCGAGAGCTTTCACGCCGCCTTGGACAGCAATCCTGATCGGCGCCCTTATTTATCAAATTTTCCCTATATTATATAAGGTGTATTTTTTTTTTTAGCTACCTACAGTTTATTTGGCACCCCTTGTATATCTGCCGCCCAGGACAAACTGTACCTCGTGACCCCCCTCTCGGTGGCACTGCAAAGAGGTTGCCTAAAAGTATGATGTCCCAAAGAACGCATTATCAACCTAGATTAAAAGCAAAAAAAAAAAATTAACCACGTTGGAAAAAAATGGCACAAAATCTAAACTTTGTAATGATAACTTTAAAAATATAGGCAGTATTAACGTGGTTCGTTTCAAAAAGGTGTCAACAAGTACCAATTGATGGCACCATACCGAAAGAAAAGGCTCTAAAATTTGCAGAAGCATTAGGAGAGTTGGATTTTAAAGCATCTGGTTGGTGGTTTCATAATTGGAAAAAAGGTTCAGTTAAATTTTGTCAAATCTTGTTCTTTTTTAATATAAACAGATAAACATGTATCTGTTTATATTTAATTTATGAAATTTTTAAACGTGTAATTAAAATTTAACTATTCTGTTCCTATTTTTAGGAACAGCATTAATCCCAAGCGAAAGTGCCGCCTGAGATTAGGCGAAAGAGATGAATGATATGACTGCTTCATAGAATGAAAATACACTTCCAATATTTCTTTCGAATTACAAATTTGAAAACATTTATAATGCCGATGAGTTTGGACTATTTTACCAGTGCCCAACAAAATAAACGTACCATTTATCACGAGAAAAATGTTACGGGAAAAAAATAGTAAAATCAGAATAACAGGCATGACAGCAGGAAATGCAACGAGAGAAAAATTAACTATGTTTGTTTTTGGAAATCTAAAAACCCTAGAAGTTTTAAGCACATTAAACAACTTCCTTGCGCATATAAAAATCAGCTAAGAAGCTGGATGACCGGAGACTTTTTTCAGAATGGGTAAAGAAGCTTGACTTATTTTTTGTGCTCAAGACAGGAATGTAGCACTCTAGATGGATAACTGTTCTGCCCACCCACAAATTGAAGAGCTAAGCAACACCAAACTGATATTTCTTCCCCCTAACATTAAATTTGTTCTTCAGCCTATGGGTCATGGCGTAATACGAAGTCTTAAAGCTCACTATTGTCACAAAATTGTGTGTTTGTGTATAATGGCTGTCAATAATAACGAACTCCTGCCAAAAATTTCTATACTTAAAGCAATGAAAGATCTTTTTTCTTCATGGAATGCTGTGTAGAAGGAGACTTTCATCAATTGTTTTAAAAAAGTGGTATCACCAAAAGAAACAAGAGAATTGAAAAAGCTGATGCTGACCATCCTTTTCTATTTATAACAGAAGAACTTAACCGTTTGCGAGAGTTAAATTCGAGTGCCGTCCAAGAAGATCACTCAGTGGAATCTTACATTAGTTTAGATTGCGATATAGTAACCCCCGGTTTACTTGCTACTGATGCTGAAATGATTGTTCAGATTTTTGACCCTAATTTTGAAAACAACGATAATGAAGTTGTTGACAAAGGTATTGTTGTCAAAGCCCCGCCACGCCCATCTGGTATTCAATTAGAAAATGCTTTTGAAACAATTCAAAATGCTTCGCTATACTGCTCAAAATACGGAAACGAAATACAATCCAAGCACTAAAAATTGAGGATTTAATGAAAATGGAAAAAGACGGATAATTTGAAGCATTACCAGATAACAAATTTTTCCAAAAGTTGTAGTTTTTGTTGTTAAAAAAATTTTGTCAGAAAAATAACCTCTTTTTTAATGAAAATCGGGCAATTTTACTTATTTTCAACTCCTTTCTTAATATCTCGAACTCTTGATACCTCAAACTTTTTTCCCGGTCCCTTTAGTGTTTGAGATATTAGGAGTTGACTGTATAAAAAATACAGATAAGTTTAATTACCAAATATTTTATAAAACAAAATACATTAGTTATGCGCGAAGCAGTCGCAAATTGGCATAAGTGCCAATCTGCATAAATGTGAAGTGCCATAAGTGCGCCGAATAAAATTGTAAATAATAACTTAAGTGCGAACTGGCATTTTGCACTTATGCTAATTCGTACTTATGCCAATTTGCTTTTATGCCGATGTTTGAAAACTCTTTTGGTGGGGGTATTTATAAATTGCTAAAAAATAGTTGTCTTTATTAATGGACAGTTCCTTAGTGGTATAGAGAAGTTTTTAAAACGCAAGAACATGTTTAGTTTGAAAAATTCATTTATATATTTACCAAAAAAAGATGCACAGGAATATAAAAAGTCAACCATTATGTATTTTTTTTTAAATTTAATTCTTTGATTTTTCTGCTGATGTCAAAAGACTTATATATATTTAAGACATTACTATTTCAATTTTTTTCAGTATTAAAATGTTCATTAATTTTTACTGCAGGCTGAAAACTTACTTTGTTATAGTTGTTTAGTGTCAGGGCCAACGACCCGGCTTTTGAAGTGGGAGGGGCGCAACCCTTAATTTCTAAAGAATGTCCTATTATATCTAATAATTTCTAAAAATGAAATTAGATAAAAAGAGGGGAGCCTCCATGGCCCCCTAGTGTTGTTAGCCCTGAGTTGACTTACATCTTCTAAGAGATTAAGTTAGGGCAGCTGTCTTATAATGATTTTTTTAACGGACGTTATGGACTTGAAAGCTTACTAAAACGAACATCTTCTTTGCTTATCAACTTTATTTTCCGTTACGGCGCGCGCATTCAAAATTTAATTTAATCTTATTTGAATGTTATGTATTTAGCCTTTTTTTACGTTTTCTTAACTTTTTTTTTTTGTTTTAACTTTTAAAACTTTTTGATAATTAGCTACTGAATTTTTTTTTAAATAACAGCATTTTGCTTTACATTTACAATTTATAGAATATTTTCAGAAAAAATTCAAAGATTATATTATATCCCCTTAATATATACAAGTTTTTTAAATAAATGTGTATGTATTTGCAAACCGTTTTATTTCTTAATAGCTTTGGACCACTTAAATGAGTAATAATAGATATGTTAGAAGATGCAAGCAAAAAGCTTTGCAGAACTGTAATAAGTTTTATAAAAAATCTGATGTTAGTTCACTTTCTTGGAAGGTTGCACAAGACTGTGTAATATGTTTGGATCTAGTAGTTTGCCGTGGTGTTCTAAGTGTTTGTGATCATTGGTTTTGCTTTGAATGTATATTTGAGTGGGCAAAGGTATTTAAAATCAAAACTGAAAAAGAAAGTTTATATTTAAATATTTTTTCTTTTAAAATATTTATATTTTTTTTTTAGTATACTTTTTTATTATATTAAAAAATAGCTGTTTTTGCTTTAAAAATTTATTTATTTAAGTCTAAGCAATTTTTTTTTATCAATTTATAACTATTTTATTTTATTTTAAAGAACACAAACACATGCCCTCTTTGCAAACTAAGGTTTCGATGTATTACAAAGGTAATTTTTGTGTTTTTCAATTATTTTTTTAATAAATACAGTTTTTATAAAATTAGTTTTATAGCAGTTTAATTTACATAGATAAATAATGTTTGTTTTAAATTATGTTTGATTTATAATTGGATAAATAATGTGTGTTTTAATTTATGTTTGATTTATATACTGATAAATAAGGATAAAATCAATTTTGGTAAGAGTGGTTTTACATTAATTTTAATCATTATTTTGCTGTTTTTAGATTTCCTAATTCACTTGTAGTTTTCATATTTTTAAATTTATGTTCTATTGATTATAGATAATAGTAATTGTAATAATAATAATAATAATAATTATTATTAAATTTGTAGTTGCAGACTTACTTGCGGATAATTCCACATCAAATCACCCAGTCTATTGACTGGGTGATTTGATGTGGAATTACCCGCAATCATGTGTCCTCTTTTTGTGTTATATTTTGACACATTCTTCCTAATTATAAAAAAATATTCCATGCAAAATTTCACCTAAAAATGTTGAGCGGTTGACAAGATACTGCAGTTTTAATATTGACCTGGTTTCCCAAAATGCCCCGGTTTTTGTAACATTCTGACAAAATGTTTTACTTGAAAAAATAAGAAAATTCTAACTGGAAAAAAAACTGAAACATATAGAACTTTATGTTCAAAGATATATAACTTTTTCAAGAAATTCAAAAAATATTTGTAAATAAAATAAAAATAAATTAATCGTAAATTAAAAAGTTACTTAAATATACAAGATTTTTAAAGATGTTGAAGAAGTAAGTTATTTTGACTGTATTTGTAGTAGTAATATTGTTGCCATTTTACTTGTACTTCTTTTATTTCAGCATTTTTAAACATATACATTCTACCGGAACTAGAGCAAGCTTGTGTAACAGATAGTTTTTTCAATTTGTTGATGTTTGGAATAAAACAGTAGTCTTTCAGGCCAGTGAAAATAGATTGATGGATTTTTTGGGTGGAGAAACTTACCTTTAGCATCAACTTCTTCAGGTTAGTTTCAGTTAAAATGCTGATCCACCGCTTATCATCATAGACTACAGCTACATAAAGTGACAGTATCAGGTTGAAATATATCTTGTTTCTTTTTAAGATCGTGGATTATTGTATAATTAGTGTCTGTACTACACCTCTTTGCCCCAACCCTGTTATCTCCAAGATGTATAAATTGATGAAAGCTACAAGTACCAGGTAGAGTTGTTACACCAGTGTACCTTTCTTTTTGCTCTTCATTTTGCAATTGTAAGTTTGATCCCTTTATATAAATGAAGTTAGCAACCTTGATTTTCTCAATATAAAATTTATACATAGCTTCTGATGTAAGAATTTGGTTTCTGTAATGGTCTTTTTTAAACTTTCTTGCGCTGTTAACCTTTTTACAGTACCGCCAATCCAATCACACTGTGACTTTCTGTGGTATGTGGCAAAAAGTTCCATTCAACTTAAAGGCAAATTCACCTGCAAATTCGCTTAATTTCTGAAAGTGAATTCGCCCTTGCATCTCTCAGTTGGCATAGGTTATAAAAGCTTATACCCTTTTTAAACTGTTCTGCACCAACATCAGTGAATAAATGTAATTTGGACAGATTAGAAAATTTTGTTGCCAATAATGATAATGTTGATTGATCCACATTTTGTTTTAGTTGGTTAAGATACTTTGATTGAGAATGAGCAATAAAAGAATGAGTTTGTAGCTTTTCAAAGCAAGATGTTAATAGTTCAATAAACATTGGAACATCTGCTATTAAACTCTAGTGTTGCACATAGTTTGCCATCAATTGTAGTATCTATTAACTTTGTATTCTCCAAAAATCTCATACAACCATTTGGTGAGGGGTTCTTTTTAATTATCACACTTTGCAGTCGTGCATTCTTTGTCTTCTACTGAGCAAACAGTTTTCGAAAGTAAATCCTTATACTTTAGTCCAATATTTAAGGCATCCACTAGCAATATGGCATTTTGGTGAACTAACACAAACAGAATGTATACCAATTGTACCTGGCAAAATACACCATTTTGGTCTAAGTGAAGCAAATTTTGAGTAACTTATTTGTATTTCTAGATTGTTTTCTTTGTATAATACATATTGTTCCTTTAAATTACACAAAAGCAGTTTTTTTTGTTTAAGGACATTCTTTTGAATACTAATATAGTCTTTTTTTCTAGGCATAATTCTACATAAATCATTTAAGTCATAAAACATTTTAACAGAATCTTCTATTTCTTTGTATAAGGCTTTACCTTTATCTTGGGGGTGCCAGTGTTAGAAGTTGAACAATAGTCGTTTTGTCAAAACATAAAATTTTTTCTTTTATCAAGCTCATAATTTCATCAAAGTTTTCAGCCTTCTTTTTCATGTTATTTGTTTCATAATACAGTTTTGAGGGACTATTGACTTGACTTTCAGTTTTTTTAGTAACATTACTTACAATTTCGTTAATGCACGTAACTTTTTGCTTCTGAGAGAATATGTTTTGATGACTGAGGATGTATTAAAATTAATTTTAGAGGAGGTATTAAAATGTTCAAGTTCTTCATTAATCTCCTGTCTTTTTGATTTGAATGATGATATTAGAAAATCCTTATCTTGTTCACCCTGATTTTGCTTCTCTTCATTAAGATTTTTTTTTCTAGCAAGGTTTTCAAAGTTTCTTCTTAGGAGCAATATTCAAATGACATCTCATCATTACTTGTGACTTATACTTCATCATCATGACTCTAAGATTTTCTAAAAGTAATTGAATTGTATAAAGCTTATCTGCATAATTGTTTAAAATTTTGTTTATGTTTTGGAAAATACAAATTAAAAAAATATATATAATAAAATATTTAAATTCTTCATCTACTTACTTATAATTTTTTTTTGTATGCTTATTGAATGGATCACAACAAGCTTTCTGCCATATAGGATACATTTTCAAATATTTTGTAATACGTCTTTCACATAATATTGTTAAGTTTGATAGTTCAATATTACAGCGTAATGATATAAATTTTTTTTTTTTGTTGCTTAAAGTTTTAATAACATCTTGTTGGCCTTTGCATGCATCTGATGTCATTAAGCCAATAGAACACATCTTAAGATAAATTACTTAGTATAAATGTATTTCTTTAAAAGAAAGAGAATTCTTCTTTCCTACTTAATTTTCAGTAAAAAAAAAAAAAAAATTAATATAGAAATAATTTAAACCTTTTCAGAATCCTTTTGTTTTATAATGTTTTATACTGATAGATATTGCTAAGATGTATTTATATATACAATTTCTATATATAAAGAAATGCACTTCAATATCACACTTTAGTCAGTTTTTATATAAAAACAAAGCAGGATGGTTTTTTCAGTTGTAAAGATCAAATAACTAAGTTATCATATAATTAAGACTTCCTTAAATAGAACAGAATTGTTGCAAGTTTTTTGAAATAATTTATTTAAAAAAATTGCAAGTTTTTTGAAATAATTTATTTAAAAACTTTGGCATATAAAATTCACCGAATGGTCACACACGAGCAGTGAATGCCTGAGGGAAGAAATGAAGTACATTAGAATAAAGGATAGTTATTTATTAGACAAAGCATATTTTGACAGTTGTCAAGACAAAAATAAAGATTAATAGAGGAATATTTAAAAATAAATAAGACAGGCTATACAACCAAAACAGTACTCAACAATAATAACAATAAAAAAAATTAAAAAAAATAAATAATAAAAAAAAAAATATATATATATATATATAAAAAAAATTAAAAAAAAAAAATTGTTTTATAAATACCAATATGAACTAAAATATACAAGAAATACATAACCAGTCAAAAATTTGTAAAACAAAAAACTATTCAACAAATTAAAAATATGCTAACAACAATGAAAGGACTAAAATGGAAAAAAAAATAAAACATTAATGCAAATGTGTAAACATAATTAGTGTAGTGATTAAGTAATAAACATTTCCTCAGAGGCGTTTCGATGAGGATCAGCATTTATAACTAGTTTATCCCGTCAGACAAACGTCATCGCCACTTATGCTTTACCAACCAACGTTGGTTGGTGCGTTGGTTGGTTGGTGCGGCGCGGGGCCCCCTGCGATAGCCGCAGCAGGGGGTGCGCCAGTGCTGCGCCTGGACTGGGGGGGGGGGTCGGGTGATCCTCTTTTAGGAGAGAAGAAAACCGAAAAGTTTTTTTGATTCCCTTGTTTTTTAATGGGTTGAATGGTTTATAAAAGGTAATTCATTAAAAATATGATGACTAGGTGGACAATTTAATGATCATTCTAAAGTATTTATTTTTTCCACATCTAAGTTATTTCAAGAAATAAATTTTTCTTCTGAGTAGAAAGCATCAAAAATTACATAAATGAATCATACTACTCCTATTATAGAAATAATAGAGCCTAAAGAGCTAATAGCATTTCAAGTAAATAAACTATCTGGAAAGTCTGCATATCTTCTGGGCATTCCTGCTAATCCTAAAAAATGTTGAGGGAAAAAAGTTAAATTTACTCCTATAAAAGTAATTCAAAAATGAATTTTACCAAAAGTTTCATTAATAGCAAATCCAGAAATTTTTCCAAATCAAAAATAAAATCCTCCAAACATAGCAAATACTGCACCTAATGATAAAACATAATGAAAATGAGCTACTACATAATATGTATCATGTAATAAAATATCTAATGATCCGTTAGCTAAAATTACACCAGTTAATCCACCTAAAGTGAATAAAAATATAAAACCAGTAGCTCATAACATAGGTGTAGATAAATTAATTTTTCCTCCATACATTGTTGCTAATCAACTAAAAATTTTAATTCCTGTTGGGACAGCAATAATCATAGTAGCTGCTGTAAAATAAGCTCTAGTATCAACATCCATTCCTACAGTAAACATATGATGAGCTCAAACAATAAAACCTAAGAAAGCTATAGCCAATTGAGCATATATCATGCCTAAGTATCCAAAAACTTGATTTTTTGAGCTAAATA